AAGTTGAAGTAAGATGTTATACATAGCTTATAACATAAGTAAGATACACGCTGCAAGAAGAAAAGACTACCGTTGTTCATAGTAGTCCTTTCACCTGCTTGTTTCACCCTTCTGATCCTCCATTACCACCAGAGACCTCATGCTGCTTTGATGGATTCCGGAACTCACAGTTCCTTGGACAACCTACTACAGCGTTTCCTGGGAAATGTTCATTTCTCTACCATAAGCCTCTAATGTCGTTTTAGAGAATTTGGCAGTACGTCCAACCGGCCTCACAACGTGTAACCACGTCAGCCCAGGACCTATACATGTGAAGAATTTAGACTTGCAATAATTGTGATCCATAAAGATAGATCGGGCGCTGCTCTTCCTCAAAACTCTGATTTCGGCATTGCATTACAACACAGCCTCCCACTTCAACCTGGTCTTGGATCATTTTGTATTATTCTGTATGTAAGTCAGGGACACTCCATTTAGTAGGATATGTTACGGTGAATGCCGTCAGCCGCCACGGTAGTGTTGTCTGTTAGAAGGTTCAATGAAAATAACATAAGGTCATTGAACCTTAAGGAGTAACGGTAGGACACTCCTTAAGAGTACATTATTGGGCTAGCTGTAGCTAGCTAGCAATACTAGAATGACAGTCAACCATTTGCATTGGGGACAGAATATTAATAAAAACAAGCATGCACATAGTTTGTGACACAACTGTCTTGATGTGTGTTGAATTACATCCGAATATTGTAAAACATGAGCATATAAATCCACTTTGTTCCTGTTTTGGTGCTTCTGCAATACACCTCAATTTAATTCTGAACGTGGATCTGGTCCTAAAGATGGTGGATAAACGTACAAAGAATATACAGGTAAGGACAAGAGGATTCTAAATTCCATAAGTCTGCATGAATGCAGGAGAATTCTAAACAATGGGACAAGCAATGCGAGCAAAAATGACTGGAAGTGAATGTTAGCAGTACAGAAAGTTCGCCATCGAAGTGGACAATAAACACAATCATTGTGCATTTCAGCTAACTACTCAGCAAACGCATAGCATAACTTTTGCTGGAATATTTGCTCACAAGAATAATTCATTGGCCCGGATGGAATGACCCTGATGACCCGGATGGAATCTTGTGATCCGTCCTTCACCCATAGGAAGTCCCATCCAGTTGACTACTTTAAAATGGCAGAAGCCCTCAATGGCAACGTCCATGCCAAAACAGGTTATCAATTTTAGTCCTCTAACTCTATGGTGGTAAATTCCACTTCCCACCTGATTAGATTCCCCTTTTGTCTGTGCCTGTTTTCTGTGACCCAAAACGACATAAAATGTGGCATTACCGCCACCTGCTGTACTGGAATGTAGTGCAGGCATACTGACACTGGTAAATACATGAAAAGGGTTACATTGCAATCTCTAGCCATATTGTAATCTCCCTAATTCGACCATATTAAAAGGGGCAGTGCAGTTAACGTGATTTTCCAGTTTTTAAAATGATATTTCCACACTAAGAGGTCTAAACAACACTCTGAAATTGTGAAAATGCCCTTTGTTGTAAGAGCTGTTTGAAAAACAACCCTGGAATTTCAGCATGTCCAGGTGGGATGGAGTTTTTGGCCCAGATCATGACATCACAATCTGATCTGATTTATTCTGACCAATGACCAGCCATCTTTTATTTGCATATGTAGGCTCTAGAGCAGGGCCGACTAAACTGGGACCTGCGGGCCAAACTTGGCCCACGATGACGTTTAATTTGGTTCGACAAAAGGTTCCAGAATTTCAACTTATGGTTTTCTCTCCGCCCCATGGCAAAATGAGTAGAATTGTATGGAATTTGTTATAAAATTATATAATTGTTCTCTCTGCCCCATGGCACAATGTGCAGAATTGCAGGAAATGTACTTTAAAACTGTCTTTGTTTCTCTCCACCATCAAGGAATCTCGCTAATGCTGCGTTTACATGGTACGAGGTAGACAGCAAACCGGATGTCATTGTTTTCAAATGAGAGCACAACGGTAAATGCCGTTGAAGCTGGTGGTGAATGCCGCCACGGTAGACAGGACTTGCCGCCAGAGTTCAAATATTTCAACTTTTGCCGTCTGCCATAGCAATTTTTTTCTACCGGATGTTGATTTGCACTGTTTGTTTACTGAAATCCCCATAGCAACGCATACCGTTCTGCTGGCTTGCTTTTGCCCGTCACAGTCTTTCTTGCTTTCTTGTCCCGCTATGCTGACCGGTATGCCGGTTTTTGCATCTCTCGTCTAAATGGCAGCACCAGGGTGATAAGGTCATCATAATGTGTTGTTAGGTGTCAAGTTATATGGCCACAAATGTTATGATTACTTTCAAAAAATATATTGCTTCAAGACCTTAAAAAGCTATTGTTTACCTTTTTATATTTCTAAATAGATAATATCCATTTGCTCCGCCCCATGGCTCACCACTCAGATAATATTTCATCAAGCCCAAAAGTTTGAGCAGCCCTGCTCTAGTCTAGACGAGCCTATCCGCCAATCAGGGCTGTGTGTGTAAATATATTTAAATGTATATCCACACGACCAGACTGAGCATTTCTATGGCAAAAGGAGGCTCAGGGAAATAAATCGTAAAAAATATGCCGTTATTTTTACTGAAATAAACAAACACAGTGATTTAGTAATCATACAGTGATGATTTAAATATACAATTAAAAAGACTGCATGGGGGCTTTAAGTAGTATTGTGACATGATATCCCAGACCTTAGTTGGGATCTCTGATATTAAATCTGATATTGGGATCTATATAAAATATTAGAGAAAGGATTAAAGTGGAAATGTACAACAAAGCAGAATACCAAATAAAGATTTCACAATGATAATCATTCAATAGTAACTTTAATACAGCCTTACATTTTCTTAGTCAGTGAGCTAAGGACAAAAAGATTGTAATACAGTAGTTTGATCTGAAAATGGATTTAGCCATGTAACATGTCTTTGGAGACGGCAGGTTAGCCTAGGGTTAGTGAGGCCATGGGGAGTGGTGAGCCATGGGTGGAGCAAATAGATATGATCTATTTAGAAATATAAAAAGGTAAACAATAGCTTTTTATAGGTCTTGAAGCAATACTTTTTTTGAAAGTAATCATACAATTTGTGGCCATATAACTTGGCAGGCCTGGAATCTAAAAGCTGCTGGACTCAATTAGGTCCACTATTTCTCTAAATGATTAACACAGCCGTTCACACAAAGGTTAATTTGGGAGAAACATGAATACAGCACTAATTTCTATTTTATATATAAAAATAAAAAATAGTATGAATGTCACCCAGTGTTCTCACTATCGCCCCCTATCTTCGATAAACACAGATATTAAAACTGTTTTCTAAAATGGCGCGCAGTACCGAGACTTACTACCCAAATGGTCCAACGGTTTGGTATAAACGTTTACTCAGATTACATCCGTTGACTATTTACATCTTAGAGCTCATCAAATCAAAAAGTCCTTGGCTGTTTACTGTCTCCTGAGTGCGCAGGTCTAGGCTGATCCAGTACTTGCCAAAGATCTGGTTCGAACCAGGCTCGTCGCAGTCGCGCGACCGGGAACTCATGGCGGCGCACAATTGGCCAGGAGAATGCCGGCAGGATGTGCTAGTTGATAGAATGCGTTGCAACCAGGTTGTGGTCATCCCAGGGGCATTATATTATATTATTTTTTAAGTTCACTAACTGAAGTCGCTCGGATAAGAGCGTTGCTAATGGAAACTGTAATGTAATCTCTCCATTAGAATGGTCATAACTCTGGTCTGTCTTGGAACATATGGGAATTGGTTCCAATTTTATTAATATGATTAAAAGGCTTATGCCAATCCCTCAGCCATAGTTATAACAGGCAATATCTGCTCTGTTCAGAATCACTAGAAGCAGCAGACAAGGAGATCCATTTATCCTTTGTTATTTTGACCCCTGGCCCAGGCAATTCTTCAATCGAAGGAAATAACACCAATTTCCCTAAAATCTACTGGTCACATCATCTCATTATACGCAGACGATATTGTACTATATCTAGACAATGTATCTCTATTGCTCCCAAACGCATTGAGTGTGGTCCTCTGTAGCTCAATTGGTAGAGCATGGCGCTTGTAACGCCAGGGTAGTGGGTTCAATCCCCGGGACCACCCATACGTAAAAATGTATGCATACATGACTGTAAGTCGCTTTGGATAAAAGCGTCTGCTAAATGGCATATTTAAATGGCATATTTAAGATCATAGATACATTCAGCTTAATCTCAAGTTATAAAATTAATCTAACCAAATCAGCCCTACTGCCTCTCAAGATCCCGATGGAGGACTCCATCTCTACTTACAGTTATAGATCTGTCATTCTCATTGAAAGCAAGTCTAAGAAGCGGTAGATCTGTTCTTTATGCTCTATTTCTATGCTTCCTGTTCTTATGTTTAGTTTTTGCGTCTTTTACTTTCAGTTTTGTACACCAGCTTCAAACAGCTGAAAATACATGATTTTGGGTTATGCAAAAGACATTTCGCAGCGGTTTAGATGGTACAATGATTCTCTACACTATACTTGCTTGTTTTGCCACATAAACTGAAATTAGGCTTACTATTTCAATTTTAGCAACCAGGAAATGGCGGAGCGATTTCTGCATAGTGCATCAAAATGATCAGTACTTAGTTATGTACCTCTTGTAATGTTTTTTTTTTTTTTTTTAGTTTTTTTTAGTGGCAGCCCACAGGTACAATGTGTGAAATAATGAATATAAAATATCTCAACAGAATATGAACTGATGTGAACTTAAATATTGTACCTGTAACCCCCCCCACCACACATAAAAAGTCACTGGTTCGAATCCCTGGCTGGTTCGAAGTCTGACTGGAAAACACAATGGCTAAGGTGTTTGCGTTGAAAGTCTCTGGACCTGATTTGAAGTCCCCGTCGGGGCCGCTGTCCACCAAATTCGGTGCAGTATGCGGTCTCCTTTTGATTCTATTTACATAGAACTTAATGCCTGACCAGTTTCTGCTTTTGAGCGCCACAGGTTCCGACTGGAGGCATTTGAGGCAGTCCCTCTTTCCAGGAACTCGGCCACTCTTTATGAACTGCATCTCTTTATGAACTGCTGCTACCTCATCAACGGTCCACTTTAATCTCACAGCGTTTCTTTGGGTCGGCTGGGCGCCTGTGTGACGGGTCGGCTGGGCCGCCTGCGTGACGGGTCGGCTGGGCGCCTGCGTGACGGGTCGGCTGGGCCGCCTGTGTGACGGGTCGGCTGGGCGCCTGCGTGACGGGTCGGCTGGGTACCTGTTGAGAAAAGTTGCTTAAAAGATCGCAAAAACGGCAGCATCAAAGGATGGAAAATAATTTCACGATGCAAATCACACAGCTTATTACTACTGTAAAATTGTAATATTTCCCGTTTGGGCTCAACAGGACCAATTGTGCAGCTGAAACAACTAGAGAAAGAGAAAGGGAGAGAAAGAGAGAATGAATAGGCTAAATAAACATGACCATTTCCTGGCAAATTCCCTGTATAAAAAAGCCAATATTATTAGGGCTGGCTGGCAAACCATCCACTTGGAGAGCTAGCCTGGCCTACTAGGTGTGGCGTTTGACTTACATTTCATTTTTGGTTCACTGAGAGTGGACAGTGCTCCAGCCATAACAACCTCATTCCACTTGAAACCTTTGAATTTGCCTGCAAACTCTGCGACCTTGTATCGTCCTGACTTTAGTGCACAGGATTCCACAGCGCTGCCAATGTTCATTAAGTTGTATCCCATTTGAACAGCCAGCGTCGGGCGGTCGTACGTTTTGTTCTCCTCGTTGTAGCCAGCAACAGCTCTCACTGCCGTGATGACGTGAGGTAAATTACTAGGTATGACCAAGTCCTCAAAGCACATCAGAGGTGTACACTTCCTGGCCGTGATGAGTAGTCTTGCCATCTCTCTCATTCTTTGTGGAATGAATTTAATTCTTCTGTCATCTGGCTGTAGTTTGTTGTACATCTCTTCTCCCATGAGGAGGATATATTTGTCATTTCTTACCACAAATGAAACTTCGCCGGAGTTCATACCACAAACTATCTTCCAAAGACCTGTGCTGACGTAATCGGGTTGAGGACACAACTTAAACACCATTGCTGACTGAATCCTCATCTTTTGTCCAGGTTTTGGTTCGTCAGCTTTGGGATTCAGAGGGCAATATCTGACATGCTTCCACAGTGTCTTTCGATTGTACAGACCTTGACAGTGCATGCAGTGGGTGTAATCTGGAGTGGACCCCGGCACTTTGGGCCGGGAACAGGCGACCATCTCTCCACTCCCACGTCTTGCTACAGCAACATTATCCGCCCGCTGACATTTTCTCTTAGCTGGATTATGAGCCCCAGAGTCTGTTTGGATGTTCATGTCTTTGTTGCTGTCTGAAGGGCTGATCTCAGTCCTTGGGTTGTTTTCATCACATAAGTTAGACAAATCAGAAGGCTCATTAACCACACCACTAGAATGGCATGTTCTCTTTGCTGGTTTCCGTGCCTCAGAATCTTCTTTAGTGCAAGAGCTACTGTCTAAAGAGTTGCCGTCTGTATCCAAAATGTTTTCGTCGGTCCAGTTAGAGAAATTAGATGCTTCATTTGATTCCACGTTACTAGAATCCTAAAAGGGGAAACAAAAAGGATAGATTAATGTAATATGAAAACTCAAAGACAGCAGAGATCCCATTTTGGAACTTTGATATGGTCGTAGAGTGTATCATATTAAACAATGTACAGTGCATTCGGATAGTATTCAGACCCCTTGACTTTTTCCACACAAAAAAAAGTTACACAATCTACACATATTGACAAAGCAAAAACAGGTTTTTAGAAATGTTTGCAAATGTATTAAAAATAAACAGAAACCTTATTTACATAAGTATTCAGACTCAATTGTCAGCGCAAAAACCAAGCCATGAGGACGAAGGAATTGTACGTAGTGCTCTGAGACTGTGTTGTGTCGAGGCAGAGATCTGGGGAAGGGTACCAAAATATTTCTGCAACCTTGAAGGTCCCCAAGAACACAGTGGCCTCCATCATTCTTAAATGGAAGAAGTTTGGAACCACCAAGACTCTTCCTAGAGCTGGCCGCCCGGCCAAACTGAGCAATCGGGGGAGAATGGCCTTGGTCAGGGAGGTGACCAAGAACCCGATGGTCACTGACAGAGCTCCAAAGTTCCTCTTTGGAGATGGGAGAACCTTGCAGAAGGACAACCATCTCTGCAGCACTCCACCAATCAGGCCTTTATGGTACAGTGGCCAGACGGAAGCCACTCCTCAGTAAAAGGCACATGACAGCCCGCTTGGAGTTTGCCAAAAGGCACCTAAACACTCTCAGACCATGAGAAACAAGATTCTCTGGTCTGATGAAACCAAGATTGAACTCTTTGGCCTGAATGCCAAGCTTCACGTCTAGAGGAAACCTGGCACCATCCCTACGGTGAAGCATGGTGTTGGCAGCATCATGCTATGGGGATGTTTTTCAGCGGCAGTGACTGGGAGACTTGTCAGGATTGAGGGAAAGATGAAAGGAGCAAAGTACAGAGAGATCCTTGATGAAAACCTGCTCCAGAGCACTCAGGACCTCAGACTGGGGCGAAGGTTCACCTTCCAACAGGACAACGACCCCAAGCACACAACCAAGACAACGCAGGAGTGGCTTCGGGACAAGTCTGAATGTCCTTGAGTGGCCCAGCCAGAGCCCGGAATTGAACATCTCTGGAGAGACCTGAAAATAGCTGTGCAGCGACGCTCCCCATCCAACCTGACATAGCTTGAGAGGATCTGCAGAGAAGAATGGGAGAAACTCCCCAAATTCAGGTGTGCCAAGCTTGTAGCGTGATACCCAAGAACTCAAGGCTGTAATCGCTGCCAAAGGTGCTTCAACAAAGTACTGCGTAAAGTCATTAAAACTCGTTTTTCAACCACTCCACAAATTTCTTGTTAACAAACTATAGTTTTGGCAAGTCGGTTAGGACATCTACTTTGTGCATGACACAAGTACTTTTTCCAACAATTGTTTACAGACAGATTATTTCACTTATAATTCACTGTATCACAATTCCAGTGGGTCAGAAGTTTAAATACACTAAGTTGACTGTGCCTTTAAACAGCTTGGAAAATTCCAGAAAATGATGTCATGGCTTTAGAAGCTTCTGACAGGCTAATTGACATCATTTGAGTCAATTGGAGGTGTACCTGTGGATGTATTTTCTAGGCCTACCTTCACACTCAGTGCCTCTTTACTTGACATCATGGGAAAATCAAAAGAAATCAGCCAAACCTCAGAAAAAAAATTGTAGACCTCACAATCTGGTTCATCCTTGGGGCAATTTTCCAAACATCTGAAGGGAACCCCCAAAAAGTTCATTGTAAAAACATAGTACGCAATATAAACACCAAAGGCCACGCTGCCATCATACCGCTCAGGAAGGGGAGGTTCTGTCTCCTAGGAAAGAACGTCTTTGGGGCCAAAATGCAAATCACCAAACACAGCCAAAAAAGACCCCTTTTGAAGATTGGAGGAAAAAGGTACAAAAAGATCTATATCCACAGTAAAAAAAAAGTCCTATTCACATAAACCTGAAAGGCCCCTCAGCAAAGGAAAAAGCCACTGTCCCAAAACCCCCTAAAAAAGCCAAACTACGGTTTTAACTGACATGGGGGGGACAAAAATCTTTCTTTTTAGAAATGTCCTCTGGTCGATGAAACAAAAAAAGAAATGTTTGGCCAAATGACCACGTTATTTTGGGGGGAAAAAGGGGGATGCTTGCAAGCCGAAGAACACCATCCCAACCGTGAAGCACGAGGGTGGCAGCATCATACTGTGGGGGTGCTTTGCTGAAGGAGGGACTGGTGCACTTGACAAAATAGATGGCATAGAAGGCATCATGAGGAAGGGAAATTATGTGGATATATTGAAGCAACATCTCAAGACATCAGTCAGGAAGTGAAAGCTTGGTCGCAAATGGGTCTTCCAAATGGACAATGACCCCAAGCATACTTCCAAAGTTATGGCAAAATGGCTTAAGGACAACAAAGTCAAGGTATTGGAGTGGCCATCACAAAGCCCTGACCTCAATCCTATAGAAAATGTGTGGGCAGAACTGAAAAAGCGTGTGCGAGCAAGGAGGCCTACAAACCTGACTCAATTACACCAGCTCTGTCAGGAGGAATGGGCCAAAATTCACCCAACTTATTGTGGGAAGCTTGTGGAAGGCTACCCGAAACGTTTGACCCAAGTTAAACAATTTAAATGCAATGCTACCAAATACTAATTGAATGTATGTAAACTTCTGACCCACTGGGAATGTGATGAAAGAAATAAAAACTGAAATAAATCATTCTCTACTATTATTCTGACATTTAAAATAAAGTGGTGATCCTAACTGACCTAAGACAGGGAATTTTTACTAGGATTAAATGTCAGGAATTGTGAAAAACTGAGTTTAAATGTATTTGGCTAAGGTGTATGTAAACTTCCGACTTCAACTGTCTGTAAAATGTGTTAGTTTATTTTTTTATAAATTTGCACAAATTTCTAAAAACCTGTTTTTCCTTTGTCATTATGGGGTATTGTGTGTAGATTGATGAGGGAAAAAAACAATTTAATCAATTTTAGAATAAGGCTGTAACTTAACAAAAGGTGGAAAGAGTCAATGGGTCTGTATGTGGACACCTGCTCGTCAAACATCTCATTCTAAAATCATGGGCATTAATATAGAGTTGGTCCCCCTTTTGCTGCTATAACAGCCTCCACTCTTCTGGGAAGGCTTTCCATTAGATGTTGGAACATCGCTGCGGGGACTTGCTTCCATTCAGCCACAAGAGCATTAGTGAGGTAGGGCACTGATGTTGGGTGATTAGGCCTGGCTCGCAGTCGGTGTTCCAATTCATCCCAAAGGTGTTCGATGGGGTTGAGGTCAGGGCACTGTGCAGGCCAGTCAAATTCTTCCACACCGATCTCAACAAACCATTTCTGTATGGACCTCGCTTTGTACACATGGGCATTGTCATGTTGAAACAGGAAAGGGCCTTCCCCAAACTGTTGCCACAAAGTTGGAAGCACAGAATCATCTAGAATGTCATTGTATGCTGTAGGGTTAAGATTTCCCTTCACTGGAACTAAGGGGCCTAGCCAGAACCATGAAAAACAGCCCCAGACCATTGTTCCTCCTCCACCAAACTTTACAGTTGGCACTATGCATTGGGGCAGGTAGCGTTCTCCTGGCATCCGCCAAATCCAGATTTGTCCGTCGGACTGCCAGATGGTGAAGCGTAATTCATCACTCCAGAGAACGCATTTCCATTGCCCTAGAGTCCAATGGTGGCGAGCTTTACACCACTCCAGCCGACGCTTGGCATTGCGCATGGTGATGGTAGGCTTGTGTGCGGCTGCTCGGCCATGGAAACCCATTTCATGAAGCTCCCGATGAACAGTTCTTGTGCTGACGTTGCTTCCAGAGGCAGTTTGGAACTCTGTAGTGAGTGTTGCAACCGAGGTCAGATGATTTTTACGCGCTTCATCACTTGGCGGTCCAGTTCTGTGAGCTTGTGTGGTCTACCACTACGCGGCTGAGCCATTGTTGCTCCTAGACGTTTCCACTTCACAATAACAGCACTTACAGTTGACCAGGGCAGACATTTTACAAACTGACTTGTTGGAAAGGTGGCATCCTATGATTCAGTAAGGCCATTCTACTGCCAATTTTGTCTATGGAGATTGCATGGCTGTGTGCTCGATTTTATACACCTGTCAGCAACGAGTGTGGCTGAAATAGCCGAAGCCACTAATTTAAAGGGGTGTCCACATACTTTTGTATATATAGTGTATGTCAAACAAAAACCAATGATTGCAAGGTTAAACAAACCATACAACTGTGCACAAGGACAACTTTTAACTATTTACAATATACAAAAACACATTTACTTGAAGAATAGTGCAGATGCAAAGTTTGGTAACAGAATGACAGTTTGTGCCGTCATTCAGTTACCAAACTTTGCATCTGCAAAAGTAGTCCTTGTGCATAGAGTTGTATGGTTTGTTTAACTTTGCAATCATTGGTTTTTGTTTGACACAAATTTTGAAGTGGAAAAAATCTGTCTCAGCGTTACCGTGGAATTGCCCTCAACCTGAGCATAGTAATTTCCAAATTAAACCACGTTCATAATCATTCTTAAAGGTCTATATGTTAGAGTTCAGGCTTTATTTGAAACATTTAAGTAGGAAATGGTATGAATTTGGACCATTATAGAGTAGGACGCCAAGTCTCAAAAAAGGCTTTTCAGTCAATCAAATTTCTTTAGAAAGGGCTCAAATAGATTGTTTTTGCACTCACAGCTGTTCCCCAGTGTTAGTTATGAAGATGAGATGTTAAGAAACAGACCAAATTGAAGTGCCTTGAGGTTCGGTGTGGAGTTCCATACAGTTTTGTAATTAAGACGCGGGGATTGGAACGGTCTCTGTAAGTACTTTCAGCAAGTTTTACTGTCTATATGGTTTCTCTCTTCATTGACGGTGTCCTTTTTTTAGCATTATGATATCCGTAACATCCATAACGGTTGTTAGTTTCAGAAGCTTGTGCGTTCACCACATTTACTGTGCTTGGATGTACTCTAAGACTATTCCTGAGGCTGTTGACATCTTGAAAAGGATGTGTTCTAGCAAAAATTCTCTTTCCAAAATACTTTTAGCTAATAATGTTCAGTGTCCCCAAAAAGCTGTCCATTTCATGTAACATCCATAATGCTTCCTATTTGCTTTATTTCTCCAACATGTCAGTATTTAGATGTCTGCTTTCTTTTGGGTAGAGGGGTTACAATAGACACATCAAAACCATTTCTATTTCGTTGGTCCATTCTGTGAGTGTGAGACATTAAGGTTGTGATTTTGCTTGGAAATGTGATGTCCATAATGCTGGAATCACCCATATACTTTATATTTAAAAATGTACTTTAAAAATGTATATATTCATGTTTATATTTTTCAGTATTCATTTTCTGTAAGGAAATTGCTTTCAAAATCTCATGTCACTTGGCTGTTTCGCTACAAATAAATGCTGCCTTTTTGTGGTGAGCGCTGTTGAACATGTTTAATAATAAATGTAATATAATCTTACTTGTTCTGAAGAAGTGGTGGGACTCTGATGAACTTTACTGTTTTCACTCTGAGCTGCAGAACCGTCTGGATTTACTGCAGAGAGGAGCTGAGAGTCACTGGTTGGTTCTGATACTCTGCTGTCAGATTCCAGCTGCTTTTCCTCCTGATTCGTCCAGAGTTCCTCTTGATTTGTGGGCTCTGGGTCCTCCTGCCACAGACCGGGGCTTCTCTCCTGCTGCTCAGGGGGAACCTTCTCTTTAGAGACAGGGAGAGAGGGCTGCTGGGAGTCTGGAGAGAAGGAAGGGGGAATGGATCTCTCCATCCCATCAACACGTTCTTCTATGTTTTCCATCTGGGCTTCAGAGAGGGGCTGAGAGTCCCTGGTTGGTTCAGATACTCTGTAGTCCTCTCCATCAGGTTCTGTTTTGATCTGTTCAGTTGTGTTGGTGGGTAGAGAGTCCCTCTCTCTGTTCTCCAAGATTTGGTCAAGATGTGAGGGCAGAGGTGGGTCCTGTTCATAGTCAATTTTAACACAGGCAGGAATCAAGAAGAGGTATTTGGTATCAGGCTCCAGCCCTTGAAGCTGCTCTTCCTCCTGACTGGTCCAGAGTTCCTCCTCTTCCTCTTTAATCTGTGTGGGCTCTGGGTCCTCTTGCCCCAGATTGGGGCTCCTCTCCTGCTCAGGGGGAACCTTCTCTTCTGAGACAGGGAGAGAGGGCTGCTGGGAGTCTGGGAAAGGAAAACAAATCAATCAAATTAGAGTGCATTTGTCACGTGCACCGGATACAGCAGGTGTAAACAGCACCGTGAAACGCTTGATTGCAAGCTCTTCCTCAACAATGCAGTTCAGAGGAGCTATAGGAGGAAGTGCTCGTTGTAATGGCTGGAATGGAACAGAGACAAACGTGTGGTTTCCATATGTTTGATACCGTTCCATTTATTCCATTCCAGCCATTACAATGAGCCCATCCTCCTATAGATCCTCCCACCAGCCTCCTCTGATGCAGTTATACTAGTCATATAAAGTAATATACAATAATAAAAAATGGGGGGGATAGGTTGAAGATACTGTATCCCTGGTTTCTAACACCCCACTGAGGGTGGTGCACACACACGCGACAGAGAACCATCTTGAGTTTCTTGTTCCCTCTGGCTAGTGACCGGTGTGCTCTTCAGGCCTGGGTTCAAATACTATCTGAAATAATTTCCATAATGAGAGTTATACAGATAAGACTGAGTGGAGCGATTCCAAAACTGTGTAGGCTAGAATAGAGCTACTGTCTTGTCAAAAAAACGTTTTTAGCTTTTAAAGATTTATAAAGTCCTATAGACACTCAAAGCAGAGTTGACTTACATTTAACCCTAACCATTCCAATATATTTCATAGAATAAAAAACACCAAAAATAAAAAAAACTATATTGATGGCAGTGGTGATTTTGCTAGGTTACATGTTAGGGTCTCCCGGGTGTGGACAAATATACTGCAGTCTAACTGTGGTGTGTGTGTGTGTGTGTGTGTGTGTGTGTGTGTGTGTGTGTGAATAACAACTAAATGAGTATCATTATTTGATCAATAATTTTGTTTCCCACAGCAACTGATTGATTCATTTTAAGTTGTTGTTATATTATTACAAACCTGCTCGATGTAACTTGATTTCCGGGTGGAACACCAAACCCAACAGCCTCTGTAGACGTTTGTTCTCCTCCTTCGAACGGGAGATTTCTTCCTGGTACTCGACTAGCTTTTTTTGAAAGACAGCCGATATCTCCACAGCAACCGCTGTTAATCGCTCAGTAAGAAACGCATTCAACTCTATCTGTAATTTGGCCATTTTAGGGTCTGTATAGCCACATGTCCACTAAGTAAATAAACTAACGCTCTAGCCATTCACTTCCTGCTTATTTCTTCTTCTTCGGGATTTGGTTGGCGGATTGCATCCAACTTTAAGGTGCATACACCGCCACCTACTGTACTGGTGTGTGAGGCCATTCACGGCCTACCTACATCATATTATTTGACACAATAATACAAAATTGGGACTAAGAAAAATTTCGATACCACCCATTAGCCCTCTCTAAAAAAAAACACCACCCATTCCACTATTTAACCCTATCTAGTCCTACTCCAGACCAATGGTCTGAGAGGACATAACCTTACCACTCAACACCCCCTGCAGCTGTTCTGCAGTAAATCCTCGCAATCCCAAGTACTTCTCTGCCGCTGCCACACGCGACAGAGGTTGCCACCACAACCTCTATTTTCTGTGACTTTCGATCCATTTCAGCAGTACAATTGACAACCATGGCTATAAATGCTAAAAAGCCCACTTTACTGAAGCACATACAGTTGAAGTCTGAAGTTTACATACACCTTAGCCAAATACATTTAAACTCTGTTTTTCACAATTCCTGACATTTAATCCTAGTAAAAATTCCCTGTTTTAGGTCAGTTAGGATCACCACTTTCTTTTAAGAATGTGAAATGTCAGAATAATATTAGAGATAATTATTTATTTCAGCTTTTATTTATTTAATCACATTCCCAGTGGGTCAGAAGTTTACATACCCTCAATAAGTATTTGGTAGCCTTGCCTTTAAATTGTTTAACTTGGGTCAAACATTTTGGGTAGTCTTCCACAAGCTTCCCACAATAAGTTGGGTGCATTTTGGCCCATTCCTCATGACAGAGCTGGTGTAACTGAGTCAGGTTTGTAGGCCTCCTTGCTCGCACACGCTTTTTCAGTCCTTCCCACAAATGTTCTATAGGATTGAGGTCAGGGCTTTGTGATGGCCACTCCAATACCTTGACTTTGTTGTCCTTAAGCCATTTTGCCACAACTTTGGAAGTATGCTTGGGGTCATTGTCCATTTGGAAGTCCCATTTGCGACCAAGCTTTCACTTCCTGACTGATGTCTTAAGATGTTGCTTCAATATATCCACATAATTTTCCTTCCTCATGATGCCATCTATTTTGTGAAGTGTACCAGTCCCTCCTGCAGCAAAGCACCCCCACAGCATGATGCTGCCACCCCTGGGCTTCATGGTTGGGATGGTGTTCTTCGGCTTGCAAGCATCCCCCTTTTTCCTCCAAACATAACGATGGTCATTATGGCCAAACAGTTCTATTTTTGTTTCATCAGACCAGAGGACATTTCTCCAAAAAGTATGAAAACTGTCCCAATGTGCAGTTGCAAACCGTAGTCTGGCTTTTTTATGGCGGTTTTGGAGCAGTGGCTTCTTCCTTGCTGAGCGGCCTTTCAGGTTATATCGATATAGGACTCATTTTACTGTGGATATAGATACTTTTGTACCTGTTTCCTCCAGCATCTTCACAAGGTCCTTTGCTGTTGTTCTGGGATTGATTAGCACTTTTCGCACCAAAGTACGTTCATCTCTAGGAGACAGAACGCGTCTCCTTCCTGAGCGGTATGATGGCTGCGTGGTCCCATGATGTTCACGCTGTACTATTGTTTGTACAGATGAACGTGGTACCTTCAGGCATTTGGAAATTGCTCCCAAGGATGAACCAGACTTGTGGAGGTCTACAATATTTTTTCTGAGGTCTTGGCTAATTTCTTTTGATTTCCCCATGATGTCAAGCAAAGAGGCACTGAGTTTGAAGGTAGGCCTTGAAATACATCCACAGGTACACCTCCAATTGACTCAAATGATGTCAATTAGCCTATCAGAAGCTTCTAAAGCCATGACATCATTTTCTGGAGTTTTCCAAGCTGTTTAAAGGCAAACTTAGTGTATGTAAACTTCTGACCCACTGGAATTGTGTTACAGTGAATTATAAGTGAAATAATCTGTCTGTAAACAATTGTTGGAAAAATTACTTGTGTCATGCACAAAGTAGATGTCCTAAACGACTTGCCAAAACTATAGTTTGTTAACAAGAAATGTGTGGAGTGGTTGAAAAACGAGTTTTAATGACTCCAACCTAAGTGTATGTAAACTTCTGACTTCAACTGTATTCTTCCCATCACTCTCTCTTGATCTCTGCCTACACACGGGAATCCTCTCAGGATCCCTCACCCTGTACCCATTTTCCTCTACCACGCTCTTCACTGCTTCAGCATATGACACTTTCTGTACTACTGTAACCCTGGCAACCTCGATCTGCCTTTCTCTCACCGGACATCTCCCATCTCCAGCCCAATGATCCCCCCAAAACTAACACACAACTTTCTCCACCGATACCACACATTCCTTCGTTTTATGCCCTCCTGCCCACTTCTCACATCTAGGCATCTCCCTCACACAATGCTGCAATATGCCCATAACCTTTACACCAAAAACACCGTAATATTTTCGGGAACATCAACTCTCACGGGATAACTGACACTTCCTACCTTGACTTTAACAGGTCGAAGGTCCGCTCATTAGGCAGGATTAAGCAAAATATTTAGCTTGTCTATTCCCAGCGCGCATCTCCAGGGTAGGCTACACCCCAGTACACACGAGTTGAGGGAAGGAATGTTTGGTTCAGATTTGGTCCGGTCTGGACCAACCTTGATTTGACGTCTATAAATTGCTTATTTTCAACTTAATTCATAGCCAATAATGAGCCTGATTTCAACATCCGGAAAATACATATTTTAGACGTATTTTCAACATTATTTTGCTTACTGGGACTTTTCAAGTTTTGCGTAGGGTGGGGTGCGGAATTTCTTGGTCTCGCCTATGGCGGCAGAACGGAAAGGACCTGCTGGTAACGATTCTGTATCAAAACTCAGCATGACAGATAATATCTTCTCCGTTTCCCCACCGGATCTACGTCTTATCAAACACTTAATGTCACCCCCGTTATCATTCCTTCCAACGGCTCCATGCTCCGGAAAGCAAAACCCGTCACAATTCTTGTCCCTAATCTCGTAATCCGGAGCGCCCTCTCCCTCTGGGCGGAGGAAACACAATAAATCATCATGAGTGACTTTCACTAACTCAACAGTCCCCAACCTCTCATCCACCCAATTTGACACCACATATGGATCAACCAAAAAGCAAGGATCCATTATTCTCTACAAATCTCATTCCACTAGGCCGAAGTCGGCGATCCTCGCCGCAGGTAGCTACTTCACCCTGACACCCTCATCTCTGATTTGCTGGAGCACGTATCGCTGTTTACCCTCCTGCTTCTTTTTATTATTCTAAGGTGTTTTGGAACCTAACTTCAATGTTGCACTTCCGCCACCTACTGGAAGTACGCTTCCTGTGCTCTTTTGTAGATTTTGTAGAACGCTAGCTACTTGCAGTAACCCATCAACACCTTATGGACGATCCACTGAGGTTCACGAATACCGGGGAATGAAATTTGAACGAATTTGTCGCACCGTGTGAAAGAAAGGTTTTGAAATTGAAGGCATATTTAATTCCAGTAGGTGTTGGTAGTTCACCATTGAAATTGTGTACCAAACTAAAACACCATAGAAGAAGAAGACGAAGAAGAAGCAGGACATTGAATGGCTAGTGATTTGGTTTGTTTACGGCGTGGATATAAAATGTCTCAATTACAGTTCTTGAATGCGTTTGTTACCGAACGATTAACAGCGGTAGCTGTGGAGATATCCGCTGTATGTGAACAAACGATAGGCGAGTACCAGGAAGAAATCTCCCGTTCAAACGAGGAGAACAAACGTCTACAGAGCCTGTTGAGTTGGGTTTTCAACCCCGAAATCAAGTTACACAGAGCAGGTTCGCAATTATATAATGACAACTCAAAATGCACGAATCAGATAGTTACGGTGGGCAACACTTATTGATCAAATAATGTACACATTTAGTCATTATTGGTTTTCTTTTCCCTACTGCCAGACTCCCAGCAGCCCTCTCTCCCTGTCTCAGAAGAGAAGGTTCCCCCTGAGCAGGAGAGGTGCCCCAATCTGGGGCAAGAGGACCCAGAGCCCACACAGATTAAAGAGGAACAGGAGGAACTCCGGACCAGTCAGGAGGAAGAGCAGCTTCAAGGGCTGGAGCCTGATACCAAAGACCTCTTCTTGATTCCTGCCTGTGTTAAAAGTGACTATGAACAGGACCCACCTCTGCCCTCACATCTTGACCAAACCTTGGAGAACAGAGAGAGGGACTCTCTACCCACCAACACAACTGAACAGATCAAAACAGAACCTGGTGGAGAGGACTACAGAGTGTCAGAACCAACCAGGGACTCTCAGCTCCTCTCTGCAGTAAATCCAGAATGTTCTGCAGCTCCGGGTGAAGACAGAATATGTGTTGATGGGGTGGTGGAGATGCTTCTTCTCTTCTCCCTCCCTCCAGACTCCCAGCAGCCCCCTCTCCCTGTCTCAGAAGAGGAGGTTCCCCCTGAGCAGGAGAGGAGCCCCAGTCTGGGGCAGGAGGACCCAGAGCCCACACAGATTAAAGAGGAACAGGAGGAACTCAGGACCAGTCAGGAGGAAGAGCAGCTTCAAGGGCTGGAGTCTGAAATCAGAGTATCAGAACCAACCAGTCTTTGCAGAGATTCAGAAACAACCATCTCTGTAGCAAATCCAGAACATGTTGATGGGGTGGAGAGACCCATTCTCCCTTCCTTTCCTCCATCCCTCCCTGTTTCTGAAGAGGAGGTTCCTCCTGAGCAGCAGCACTGTGAGCAGGAGAGGAGCCCCCTTCTGGGGCAGGAGGACCCAGAGCCCACACAGATTAAAGAGGAAGAGGAGGAACTCAGGACCAGTCAGGAGGAAGAGCAGCTTCAAGGGCTGGAGTCTGAAATCAGAGTATCAGAACCAACCAGCCTCTGCAGAGTTTTAGAACCAACCAGTCTTTGCAGAGATTCAGAAACAACCATCTCTGTAGCAAATCCAGAACATGTTGATGGGGTGGAGAGACCCATTCTCCCTTCCTTTCCTCCATCCCTCCCTGTTTCTGAAGAGGAGGTTCCTCCTGAGCAGCAGCACTGTGAGCAGGAGAGGAGCCCCCTTCTGGGGCAGGAGGACCCAGATCCTACACAGATTAAAGAGGAACGCGAGGGACTCAGGACCAGTCAGGAGGAAGAGCAGGTTCAAGGGCTGGAGTCTGAAATCAGAGTATCAGAACCAACCAGCCTCTGCAGAGTTTTAGAACCAACCAGTCTTTGCAAAGTATTAGAATCAACGTCTGTAGCAAATCCAGACTATTCTGCAGCTCAGAGTGAGAAGATAGAAGAATATGTTGATGGATTGGAGAGACCCATTCTACCTTCCTACCCTCCAGAACTCCCTGTCTCTGAAGAGGAGGTTCCCCCTGAGCAGCAAGAGAGGAGCCCCGGTCTGGGGCAGGAGGACCCAGAGCCCACAAAGGTTAAAGACAAACAGGAGGAACTCAGGACCAGTCAGGAGGAAGAGCAGCTTCACATTGGGGTATCAGAACCAACCAGCCTTTGTAGAGTATCAGAACCAACCCTCTCTGCTGCCAATCCAGACTCTTCTGAAGCCCAGATAGAAAACATAGAAGAACATATTGATGGGTTGGAGAGACCCATTCTCCCTCCCTTCTCTCCAGACTCCCAGCAGCCCTCTCTCCCTGTCTCTAAAGAGGAGGTTCCCCCTGAGCAGCAGGAGAGAAGCCCCGGTCTGGGGCAGGAGGACCCAGAGCCCACAAAACAAGAGGAACTCTGGACGAATCAGGAGGAAAAGCAGCTGGAATCTGACAGCAGAGTATCAGAACCAACCAGTGACTCTCAGCTCCTCTCTGCAGTAAATCCAGACGGTTCTGCAGCTCAGAGTGAAAACAGTAAAGTTCATCAGAGTCCCACCACTTCTTCAGAACAAGTAAGATTATATTTAATGTATTATTAAACATGTTCAACAGCACTCAGTGCAAAAAAAAAGCAGCATTTAATTGAAGAGAAACAGCCAATTGACTACATGAGATTTTGATAGCAATTTTCGGACAGAAAATGAATACTGAAAAATATGAATATATAAATGTAAAGTTATTTAAATATAAAGTATATACATTGTTTAATATGATCAAATCTACGACCATATCAAAGTTCCAAAATGGGATCTCTGCTGTCTTTGAGTTTTCATATTACATTAATCTATCCTTTTTGTTTCCCCTTTTAGGATTCTAGTAACGTGGAATCAAATGAAGCATCTCATTTCTCTAACTGGACCGACAAAAACATTTTGGATACAGACGGCAACTCTTTAGACAGTAGCTCTTGCACTAAAGAAGATTCTGAGGCACGGAAACCAACAAAGAGAACATGCCATTCTAGTGGTGTGGTTAATGAGCCTTCTGATTTGTCTAACTTATGTGATGAAAACAACCCAGGGACTGAGATCAGCCCTTCAGACAGCAACAAAGACATGAACATCCAAACAGACTCTGGGGCTCATAATCCAGCTAAGAGAAAATGTCAGCGGGTGCAGAGTCCTTCAGCAGAGATTGTGTGCAGTAGGGATACTACCCCATCATCAGCTCAAAGCTCCACATATGTAATGCCGATGCCTGTAACCGACAGTAGAAGATCCAAGAAACAGTATTGTCTGTACTGTGGAAAGCCTTACCTTAAAATCGCAAGACACCTGCAGTTTGTGCATCGGGATGAAGTGGATGTAGCCAAGGCCTTCAGCTTTAGAAAGAACTCGAGAGAGAGAAAAGTGATGTTAGGTCTTTTGAATAAAAAGGGTAACTTTGTGCATAATGTTGCTGTAGCAAGATGTGGGAGTGGAGAGATGGTCGCCTGTTCCCGGCCCAAAGTGCCGGGGTCCACTCAAGATTACACCCACTGCATACACTGTCAAGGTCTGTACAATCGAAAGACACTGTGGAAGCACGTCAGATATTGCCCTCTGAATCCCAAAGCTGACAAACCAAAACCTGGACAAAAGATGAGGATTCAGTCAGCAATGGTGTTTAAGTTGTGTCCTCAACCCGATTACGTCAGCACAGGTCTTTGGAAGATAGTTTGTGGTATGAACTCCGGCGAAGTTTCATTTGTGGTAAGAAATGACAAATATATCCTCCTCATGGGAGAAGAGATGTACAACAAACTACAGCCAGATGACAGAAGAATTCAATTCATTCCACAAAGAATGAGAGAGATGGCAAGACTACTCATCGCGGCCAGGAAGTGTACACCTCTGATGTGCTTTGAGGACTTGGTCATACCTAGTAATTTACCTCACGTCATCACGGCAGTGAGAGCTGTTGCTGGCTACAACGAGGAGAACAAAACGTACGACCGCCCGACGCTGGCTGTTCAAATGGGATACAACTTAATGAACATTGGCAGCGCTGTGGAATCCTGTGCACTAAAGTCAGGACGATACAAGGTGGCAGAGTTTGCAGGCAAATTCAAAGGTTTCAAGTGGAATGAGGTTGTTATGGCTGGAGCACTGTCCACTCTCAGTAAACCAAAAATGAAATGTAAGTCAAACGCCACACCTAGTAGGCCAGGCTAGCTCTCCAAGTGGATGGTTTGCCAGCCATCCCTAATAATATTGGCTTTTTTATACAGGGAATTTGTCATGTTTATTTAGCCTATTCATTCTCTCTTTCTTTTCTTTATGCAACATTGTCCGCTCCTGTTCATCCAAAAAGTAATTGACATATTAATAATAATAAAGAACAAATGTGATATGCATGGTGAAATTATTTTCCATCCTCTGATGCTGCCGTTTTTGGAATCTTTTCTCAACAGGCGCCCAGCCGGACCGTCACACAGGCACCAAGCCGCCCCATCACACAGGCACCAAGCCGCCCCATCACACAGGCACCAAGCCGCCCCATCACACAGGCACCCAGCCGTCCCGTCATACAGGCACCCAGCCGCCCCATCACACAGGCACCCAGCCGCCCCGTCACACAGGCGCCCAGCCGACCAGGGGAAGAAACGCTGTAAAAATAAAGTGGACTGTTGATGAGGTAGCAGCAGTAGAGAAACACATGATGCAGTTCATAAAGAGTGGCCGAGTTCCTGGAAAGAGGGACTGCCTCAAATGCCTCCAGTCGGAACCTGTGGCGCTCAAAAGCAGAAGCTGGTCAGGCATTAAGTTCTACGTACATAACAGAATCAAACGGAGAAAGAGTTTTGCAGCAAGTTCACGGGGCAGCAGCCCCGACTCAAACTCAGGTCCAGAGACTGGCAACCCAACACCTTAGCCAAAGAAAATGTTATTACATTTTTGTTCATTGTTTTTGTTAATGGAAATTGGCCTCTTTTGTAGAGCACAATGGCGGAGTGTCTTCAGTGTAAAACTAACAATGAGTCAATAATTCATGCCTTCTGGGAGTGCTATAAAGTTCACAAGATATGGGCAGAGTTCGAAATCTGTCCGTCAGAAGTTTTACAATGTAAGTTTACTTTTAATCCTGTCTATATGCATATTTCAAGACATGGCATGTAGGGGTGCGGTGAGATAACCAATGGGGTTGGACAATATTATTTTTGTCAATTATATTGAATAAGCTATTACTTAAATACTGGAAGTCAAATGATACTCCAACACTAAGAGAATGGAATAATCAAATGCTTTATTATTTAAATATTGACAAAAATCTGTCTACAGACAGAAACAACATAACACAATTTGAAGTAATCTGGGAAAATTACCTATTTTTTACTACTTTTTCAACCCCTGAGATACAAACACACAGTTACTGAAGCGTCCCTGGAGCAGTCCAGGATTTCCGGAATACCTGTGAATTTTGGGAAAGTTACCAGAATTTTGCAACCCCAGTTGGGCTGTATTAAAGATACTATTGAATATTTATCATCATTGTGAAATCTTTGATAGAGCTAACTACTGCTTCGTACACATGGTCACTTTAAGTGATTGAATTGGGCAGGACTCAAATCATTTTGCCATTATTTTATAGAGATACCGATATATACAATATCAGACGCCCCCAATTTAATGTCTGGTGTATGTCACATTACTCAACAACTTCATTTGGTGTCGAATTAGGGGAGACAGGCTTACAGTGTGCCAATGTTACCCTAAATGGATTCATTTTATTTGCCACTCAGACTACTTTTGTGTGGTTTAGAATTGTTTTGTTTTCTCATGGATGCATTGTCATGCTCCTGGTCTTCATTCAAGTTTATTCAAACATTATTAGTACCATTATTAGAACACACAAATACCGTCTCAAATATCTCCAAAGCATCTAGTTAATTTATAAAACCACTATTATAAATTATAATGATCTGTCATGTATTAACTCAACTCTCTCCGTTGCATTATTAGATACAGAGCCTTCAGAAAGTATTCGCACCCCTTGACTTTTTCCACATTTTGTTGTTACAGCCTGAATTTAAAATCGATTCAATTGAGATTTTTTGTCACTGACCTAATTTTGACATTATACCTCATAATGTCAAAATTAAGTTTTTCGAAATGTTTACAAATTAATTAAAAATGAAAAGCTGAAATGTCTTGAGTCCATAAATATTCAACCCCTTTGTTATGGCAAGCCTAAATACGTTCAGGAGTAAAAATGTGCTTAACAAGTCACATAAGTTGCTTGCACTCACTGTGTGCAATAATAGTGTTGATTTTGAATGACCTCATCTCTGTACCCCACACATACAATTATCTGTAAGGTCCCTCAGTCGAGCAGTGAATTTCAAACACAGATTCAACCACAAAGACCAGGGAGGTTATCTCACAAAGAAGGGCACCTATTGGTAGATGGGAATAAAAACAAATAGACATTGACTATCCCTTTGGGCATGGTGAAGTTATTAATTACACTTTGGATGGTGTATCAATACACACAGTCACTACAAAGATACAGGCGTCCTTCCTAACTCAGTTGCCGGAGAGGAAGGACACCAATCAGGGATTTCACCATTAGTTTAATGGCTGTGATAGGTCGAAAACTGAGGATGGATCAACAACATTGTAGTTACTCCACAATATTAATATATACTGAACAAAAATATAAATGCAACATGCAATAATTTCATTGATTTTACTGAGTTACAGTTAATATGAGGAGATCAGTCAATTTAAATGAATTCATTAGGCCCTAATCTATGGATTTCACATTACTCGGAATACAGATATGCATCTGTTGGTCACAGATACCTGGGGAAAAAATGGTCCTCAGGATCTCATTGTGGTATTTTTGTGCATTCAAATTGCCATTGATAAAATGCAAATGTGTTCGTTGCCCGTAGCCTATGCCTGCCCATACCATAACCCCACCGCCACCATGAGGCACTCTGTTCACAACATTGACATCAGCAAATCGCTTGCCCACACAACGCCATACACGTGGCCTGTGCTTGTGAGGCCAGGTGAACGGTTGGACGTACTGCCAAATTCTCAAAAATGACGTTGGAGGTGGCATATGGTAGAGAAATGAACATTAAATTCTCTGGCAACAGCTCTGAACATTTCTGGGATCTTCTATTTCAGCTCATGAAACATGGGACCAGCCCTTTACATGTTGCGTTTATATTTTTGTTCAGTGTAATTGGCAGAGTGGAAAGAAGGAAGCATGTACAGAATAATAATATTCCAAAATATACATCCTGTTTGCAACAAGTGTTATGTTTGGGGTAAATCCAACACATTACTGAGTAACACTCTCCATATTCTCAAGCATAGTGGTGGCTGCATCATGTTATGGATATGCTTGTAGTCGTTAAGGACTGGGGAGTTTTTCAGGCAAAAAAATTTTACGGAATGGAGCTAAGCACAGGCAAAATCCTAGAAGAAAACCTGTTTCAGTCTGCTTTCCATCAGACGCTGGGAGATGAATTCAACTTTCAGCAGGACAATAACCTAAAACACAAGGCCAAATCTACACTGGAGTTGCTTATCAAGAAGACAGTGACTGTTCCTGAGAGGCCTAGTTACAGTTTCAAGTAGATTTAAGTCAAAACTGTATCTCAAGACCTGAAAATGGTTGTCTAGCAATGATCAACAACCACTTTGATAGAGCTTGAAGAATTTTTAAAAGAATAATGGGAAAATGTTGCACAATCCCGGTGTGGAAAGCTCTTAGAGATTTACCCAGAAAGACTCACAGCTTTAATCACTGCCAAAGGTGCTTCTACAAAGTATTGACTGAGGGGTGTGAGATATTTCTGTATTTCATTGTCAATAATGTGTGTAGATGTGTGGAAAAAATCAATTTAATAAATGTTTTATTCAGGATGTAACACAACAAAATGTGGAGTAAATCAAGGATGATGAATGTTTTCTGAAGGCACTGTACATGTAAAGGATGAACCAGAGAGATTAGACTGTTTAGAAGGTAGATAATATATGGCAATGATACAGGTCTTGACTTTGACCAAAATGAATGAACCCTTTACAGAACACTTTCGACGACTGGATCACGGCTCTTACACACACCGATGTAGTCTGTTTTGCTGGCTGGGAGAGGGAGGTCCTCCTGACTGACGAGAGAGCGGTTGTAGGAGCCGCCAGGGGTGCAGAGTGGGTCGATGTAAGACCACTCCCTCTCTCTCTCCTTCCCCTTCCTCCGCTCTGACTCCATCTCTATCTGGAGCTCTAGCTGCTTCCTAGGTCCCCCCGACGGACGCCTGCTCCGGCTCTGAGACCTCCAGTAGCTATTGCTGTCGTAGGATGGGAGTCCCTCCTGTTTTGGGCGAAACCCCTTCTCCTCTTTCTCCACTAGCGTCAGGCCCTGGTCCTCGCCCCCCTCTGTGTCCCCCCTCTTCTCTCTTGGACCCTCGGCCCGCAAGCCTGGTGGAGATCGTGTGCTGTGGTGGTGGGTCATATTCTTCAGTGTCATCTTCTGAGTCGTCAGCTGCTGCTGCACTTTGCTCTGCTGCCTGTGGGTGGCGCTGTGGCTGTAGTACACAGACCTGGGCACCGGCCTGGCCTTAAATGCCCTCCTCTCCTCTTTGGCCACCAAGTTCCCCAGTTCCGCTTCAATCCTCTGCTCCCTCTTCCTCCTCTCTCTCTCCAGGAAGCTGAACGGTCTCTGGGGTGAGCAGGAGAAGGCCCGCCGGTTGCCACCGCTGACCGAGACACGACGACAATTACAAAGGTTACCTCCGTGGTTACCGGGATGGTAACCGGGCCGCTGGCTGGGGCGGCGGCTGATGGCGTCGTAGAGCGGCAGGCGGGTGTGGGCGGGCGCCGGCGAGGCCCGGAACTTCACGCCGCACTCCCTCAGCTCCTCCAGTTCCCGGCGCAGCAGGAAGTTCTCCAGCTCAACCTCTGAACGCGTCCTCACCTTATTAACAATAATACATCAATAATACATGAGTTTTATATAGTACATTTCACAGAACCCAAACACACACAGGGACATTTGCTCAGCATGCCAAGCATACATGTATTACACTGTATTTATGCCAGGTATTACGTTCCCTATGGGATGCTACGTTACATTATCCATTCAAGACTCTTTAGAGAACAATAAAACTAATCAAAGCCAAAGTCCTCCTCACCTTCCTCCTCTTCTTCTCCTCCTCCCTCATCATCATCCTGAAGGGCTCTGGGACGGTCACCGTCCCCCTGGTGTTATCAGGCCCTCCAACCCCTCTACTGCTCTCGGCTCTGGTTCTCCTCCCCGTCTTGCTCAGGTTTCCCCCCTGGTTTCCGCCCTGGCTCTTGGGGCAGCAGCCTCTCAGCTGGAGCTCGATCTGGAGTTGGCTCCTGGATGATGAAGTGCATGATGGCTGCTTACGGGCGGTGGTGGTGTTGGTGGTGGTGGTGATCATACCCGCTGGACAGCAGGACTGACTGTCCCTGTGGCGGAACAAAAGTAAAACAAAGCTTCAATTGCAACGTACGTATCTTCCAGTGAGTGCTTTGAGGCCTTGTTTCATTTTTTATGTGATCGACTGTTGGCTCCAAGCACCCTTTCATTTATTTACGCAAGAGGACAAGAGAGCACATTGATTGATGGATTGATTTTTGAGTAAAATAATTCATACAGTTATAAACAATTTGAAAGCACAAAGAACCTCAGAGGATGTGACATTCTCTCTCTTTACCTGAGGCTGTTACTGAGGGGTATGTCCTCCCTCCTCCTGGGCCTGTCCTCTACAATCAGAAAGAGACAAAACAGTAAACTATTAAAATAATAATAAATAATATGCCATTTAGCAGACGCTTTTATCCAAAGCGACTTACAGTCATGCGTGCATACATTTTTGTGTATGGGTGGTCCCGGGGTCCCGGGGATCGAACCCACTACCTTGGCGTTACAAGCGCCGTGCTCTACCAGCTGAGCTACAGAGGACCACATAAAAAATTTGAACTTGATGGATGATTGATTAATTTTGTGTATACTTACAGGGCCTTCAGAAAGAATTCACACCCATTGACTTTTTCCACATTTTGTTATGTAACAGCCTGAATTTAAAATGGATAACATTTAGATTTTATTTTACTGACCTACACACAATAACCCATAATGTGAAAGTGGAATTGTGTTTTTTGTATTTTTGACTAATTCATTAACATTTAAAAGCTCAAAATGTCTTGAGTCAATAAGTATTCAACCCCTTTGTTATGGCAAGCCTAAATAAATTCAGGAGTAAACATTTGCTTAACAAGTCACATAATAAGTTCCATGGACTCACTGTGTGCGATAATAGTGTTTAACCTGATTTTTGAATGACAACCTCATCTCTGTACCCCACACATACAATTATCTGTAAGGTCCCTCAGTCGAGCAGTGAATTTCAAACACAGATTCAACCACAAAGACCAGGGAAGTTTTCCAATGCCTCAAAGAAGGGCACCTATTGGTAGATGGGTAAAAATAAAAATAAAAAGCAGACATTGAATATTCCTTTGAGCATGGTGAAGTTATTAATTACACTTTGGATGGTGTATAAATACACTCAGTCATTACAAAGATACAGGTGTCCTTCCTATCTAAGTTGCCGGAGAGGAAGGAAACCTCTCAGGGATTTCAACATTAGGCCAATGGTGACTTTAAAACAGTTACAGAGTTGAATGGCTGTGATAGGAGAAAACTGAGGATGGATCAACAGCATTGTAGTTACTATACAATACTAACCTAATTGACTGAGTGAAAAGAAGGAAGCCTGTACATAATACAAATATTCCAAAACATGCATCCTGTTTGCAACAAGTGTTATGTTTGGGGCAAATACAACACATTACTGAGTACCACTCTCCATATTTTCAATTCTAGTGGTGGCTGCATCATGTTATGGGTATGCTTGTAATTGTTAAGGACTGGGGAATTTTTTAGGATGAAAAAGAAATGCCAAAATCCTAGAGGAAAACCTGGTCAGTCTGCTTTCCACCAGACACTGGGAGATGAATTCACCTTTCAGCAGGACAATAACCTAAAACACAAGGCCAAGCCTACACTGGAGTTGCTTACCAAGAAGACAGTGAATGTTCCTGGGTGGCCGAGTTTACCGTTTTTACTTGAATCTGCTTGGAAATCTATGGCAAGACCTGAAAGGGTTGTCTGGCAATGATCAACAATCAATTTGACAGAGCTTGAAGAATTTTGAAAATAATAATGGGCAAATATTATACAATCCAGGTGTGCAAAGCTCTTAGAGACTTACCCAGAAAGACTCACAGCTGTAATCGCTGCCAAAGGTGATTCTAACATGTATTGACTCAGGGGTGTGAATACTTATATAAATGAGATACTGTATTTCTGTATTTCATTTTCAATAAACATTTATAAAAACATGTTTTCACTTTGACATTATGGGGTATTGTGTGTAGATGGATTTTTTAAAATAATATTTAATCAATTTTGAATTCGGAAAGTATTCAGACCCCTTTACTTTTTCCACATTTCGTTACGTTACAGCCTTATTCTAAAATTGATTAAATACTTTTTTCCCCTCATCAATCTACAAACAATACCCCATAATGACAAAGCAAAAACAGGTTTTTAGAAATGTTTGCAAATGTATAAAAAAACAAAACAGAAATACCTTATTTACATAAGTATTCAGACCCTTTGCCATGAGACTCGAAATTGAGCTCAGGTGCATCCTGTTTCCATTGATCATCCTTGATGTTTCTACAACTTGATTGGAGTCCACCTGTGGTAAATTATATTGATTGGACATGATTTGGAAAGGCACACACCTGTCTATATAAGGTCCCACAGTTGACAGTGCATGTCAGAGCAAAAACCAAGCCATGAGGTCAAAGGAATTTTCCATAGAGCTCCGTAGAGTGTCGAGGCACAGATCTGGGGAAGGGAACCAAAAAATGTCTGCAGCATTGAAGGTCCCCAAGAACACAGTGGCCTCCATCATTCTTAAATGGAAGAAGTTTGGAACCACCAAGACTCTTCCTAGAGCTGGCCGCCCGGCCAAACTGATCAATCGGGGGAGAAGGGCCTTGGTCAGGGAGGTGGTCACTCTAACAGAGCCCAGAGTTCCTCTGTGGAGATGGGAGAACCTTCCAGAAGGACAACCATCTCTGCAGCACTCCACCAATCAGGCCTTTATGGTAGAGTGGCCAGACGGAAGCCACTCCTCAGTAAAAGGCCCATGACAGCCCGCTTGGAGTTTGCCAAAAGGCACCTAAAAGACTCTCAGGCCATAAGAAACAAGATTCTCTGGTCTGATGAAACCAAGATTGAACTCTTTGGCCTGGCATCACGTCTGGAGGAAACCTGGCACCATCCCTACGGTGAAGCATGATGGTGGCAGCATCATGCTGTGGGGATGCTTTTCAGTGGCAGGGACTGGGAGACTAGTCAGGATCGAGGGAAAGATGAACGGAGCAAAGTACAGAGAGATCCTTGATGAAAACCTGCTCCAGAGTGCTCAGGACCTCAGACTGGGGCGAAGGTTCACCTTCCAACAGGACAACGTCCCTAAGCACACAGCCAAGACAACGCAGGAGTGGCTTCGGGACAAGTCTGAATGCTCTTGAGTGGCCCAGCCAGAGCCCGGACTTGAACCCGATCGAACATCTCTGGAGAGACCTGAAAATAGCTGTGCAGCGACGCTCCCCATCCATCCTGACAGCTTGAGAGGATCTGCAGAGAAGAATGGGAGAAACTCCCCAAATATACAGTTGAAGTCGGAAGTTTACATACACCTTAGCCAAACACATTTAAACTCAGTTTTTCACAATTCCTGACATTTAATCCTAGTAAAAATTCCCTGTCTTAGGTCAGTTAGGATCACCAATTTATTTTAAGAATGTGAAATGTCAGAATAATAGTAGAGAGAATGATTTATTTTCTGCTTTTATTTCTTTCATCACATTCCCAGTGGGTCAGAAGTTTACATACACTCAATTAGTATTTGCTAGCATTGCCTTTAAATTGTTTAACTTGAGTCAAACGTTTCGGGTAGCCTTCCACAAGCTTCCCACAATACGTTTGGGTGAATGTTGGCCCATTCCTCCTGACAGAACGGGTGTAACTGAGTCAGGTTTGTACGCCTCCTTTCTCCACACGCTTTTTCAGTTCTGCCCACAAATTTTCTGTAGGATTGAGGTCAGGGCTTTGTGATGGCCACTCCAATACCTTGACTTTGTTTGTTCTTAAGCCATTTTGCCACAACTTTGGAAGTATGCTTGGAGTCATTGTCCATTTGGAAGACCCATTTGCGACCAAGCTTTAACTTCCTGACTGATGTCTTGAGATGTTGCTTCAATATATCCACATAATTTTCCTTCCTCATGATGCCATCTATTTTGTGAAGTGCACCAGTCCCTCCTGCAGCAAAGCACCCCCACAGCATGATGCTGCCTCCCCCGTGCTTCACGGTTGGGATGGTGTTCTTCGGCTTGCAACACCCCCTTTTTCCTCCAAACATAACGATGGTCATTATAGCCAAACAGTTCTATTTTTGTTTCATCAGACCAGAGGACATTTCTCCAAAAAGTATGATCTTTGTCCCCATGCGCAGTTGCAAACCGTAGTCTGGCTTTTTTATGGCGGTTTTGGAGAAGTGGCTTCTTCCTTGCTGAGCAGCCTTTCAGGTTATGTCGATACAGGACTCGTTTTACTGTGGATATAGATTCTTTTGTACCTGTTTCCTCCAGCATCTTCACAAGGTCCTTCGTTGTTCTGGGATTGATTTGCACTTTTCGCACCAAAGTACGTTCATCTCTAGGAGACAGAACGCATCTCCTTCCTGAGCGGTATGACGGCTGCGTGGTCCCATGGTGTTTATACTTGCGTACTATTGTTTGTACACATGAACGTGGTACCTTCAGGTGTTTGGAAATTGCTCCTAAGGATGAACCAGACTTGTGGAGGTCTACCATATTTTTTCTGAGGTCTTGGCTGATTTCTTTTGATTTTCCCATGATGTCAAGCAAAGAGGCACTGAGTTTGAAGGTAGGCCTTGAAATACATCCACAGGTACACCTCCAATTGACTCAAATGATGTCAATTAGAAGCTTCTAAAGCCATGACATCATTTCCTGAATTTTCCAAGCTGTTTAAAGGCACAGTCAACTTAGTGTATGTAAACTTCTGACCCACTGGAATTGTGATACAGTGAATTATAAGTGAAATAATCTGTCTGTAAACAATTGTTGGAAAAATTACTTGTGTCATGCACAAAGTAGATGTCCTAACCGACTTGCCAAAACTATAGTTTGTTAACAATACATTTGTGGAATGGTTGAAAAATGAGTTTTAATGACTCCAACCTAAGTGTATGTAAACTTCTGACTTCAACTGTAGGTGTGCCAAGCTTGTAGTGTCATACCCAAGAAGACTCAAGGCTGTAATCGCTGCCAAAGGTGCTTCAACAAAGTACTGAGTAAAGGGTCTGAATACTTATGTAAATGTGTATATTTCAGTTTTTTGCAAAAAATTCTAAAAACCTGGTTTTGCTTTGTCATTATGGGGTATTGTGTGTAGATTGATGAGGGGGGAAAAAACAATTTAAACCATTTTAGAATAAGGCTGTAATGTAACAAAATACTTTCCGAATGCACTGTAAAAAAAAATTAAAACATTTTTAAACGTGACCAGGATTTCACAATACAGTCAGAGACTTACTATTTGCTGAATTATTTATGAAAATATATACAATGGTAGTAGAAGATTAGCATATTATGTTACAGCAGGTGGCATATTAATGGGATGCCGTTTAGGGCTCTTTTTCCCTCTGACCTTCTCTCTCTTCCAGCAGCAGTTCAAAATGGTTATCCTCCTCTTCTCCGTCTCCACCAACGACGTCTCCTGATTGGTCAGACACATCGCTGGACGTCTCCTCGTGGAAGTTAAGCTCCTCGTTTGAAAGGATTCTCTGCAGTCGCCTCACTGGCATGGAGCCAGAGCTCTGGCTTTCCGACGTCACACTGAGAGACAGGAGAGATTGAACATCATTTAAGATGAGCATGGCTTTCATTGTTGCTACCATGAAGAAAGTATAAAGCACATCACGGTTAAAGTAAGCCCCCCTTATGATGTATGAAACATTAAAATACCTTCTCCAAAAGCACAAAAAACAAACACTGATGTTTTTGTTCCCCCAAAACTATACTGAACAAAAATATAAACGCAACATGCAACAATTTCAATGATTTTACTGAGTTACAGTTCATATAAGGAAATCAGTCAAGTGAAATAAATTCATTACGCCCTAATCTATGGATTTCACATGACTGGGCAGGGGTGCAGCCATGGGTGGGCCTGGGAGGGCATAGGCCCACCCACTTGAGAGCCAGACCCAGCCAATCAGAATGAGTTTTTCCCCACAAAAGGGCTTTATTACATACAGAAATACTCCTTGGTTTCATCAGCTGTCCGGGTGGCTGGTCTCAGACGATCCCTCAGGTGAAGAAGCCGGATGTGGACATCCTGGGCTGGCGTGGTTACACGTGGTCTGCAGTTGTGAGGCCGTTGGATGTACTGCCAAATTCTCTAAAACGACGTTGGAGGCAGCTTATGGTAGAGAAATTAACATTCAATTCTCTGGCAACAGCTCTGGTGGACATTCCTGCAGTTCAGCATGCCATTTGCACGCTCCCTCAAAACTTGAGACATCTGTGGCATTGTGTTGTGTGACAAAACTGCACATTTTAGAGTGGCCTTTTATTGTCCCCAGCACAAGGTGCAACTGTGTAATGATCATGCTGTTTAATCATTTTCTTGATATGCCACACCTGTCAGGTGGATGGATTATCTTGGCAAAGGAGAAATGCTCACTAACAGGGATGTAAACAAATTTGTGCACAACATTTGAGAGAAATAAGCTTTTTGTGCATATGGACAATTTCTGGGATCTTTTATTTCAGCTCATGAAACATGGGACCAACACTTTACATGTTGCATTTATATTTTGCTTCAGTACAATAAACACTTTATTTTTCTCTGTCTTCTAAATAGGTAGCACACGGTTACATTGCCTACAACTACTTAACTAAACAAAGGGTACAGTACTAAAAGCCATGATATCAGACCTGGGTTGGGGATCCTGTATGTCTCCGCCCTCCCTCTCCAAACACTCGTCCTCCTCATACTCCTCATACTCCTCCTCATCGTCCTTCTTGTTGACCTTTGACCTTTTACAGATGTACATCTTCTCCATCTCAGCCATGTTCCTCAGGTGGGTTCTCTTCAGCTGCTCCAGCCTCTGGTAGTAGTCCTGGTGGGGGAAGAGGAACACCCACATTTAGGCCCGGGATTCAATCCGATCGCCCGGCTATGCACCTTTTAAAGGCAATGTTCCCACGGTTCGCAGAGACCACATTCTTGGTAAACGCTGCATATGTTGGCTCAATCTGAAATGACCTTATATGTCAAGCGCACACTGATCAGATAGAATCCCAACCTTTGATTCAGACAATCTTTTGACCCTTTTCACACTAGCAAGCCAAACCAAACCAAGCCATAGTAGCTGGAACCATGCTGGAAAGGGTCAGGTAAAGATAAAATTGCCAAGCCAGAACATTAAAGTTTGGGTTAACATGATAGTGTGAACCAGGCATTATTCTCCCATCGCAGCAATTTGTTTTCACATCAGTTTTATTAAACAACATGTATAGCCTACAATATATATAGAGGAAATTTAGGAAGAGACAGTGAATGGATACATTTACAGTAAAAAGGGCAGAAGGTGCAAAGAGCATGGAGCAGTATCTATTCTAGGCTACCTGGTTGGAGAAGTAGACCCGTCCCAGGCCTGAGCGCTCCCCTCTCTCCACCCCGTATCCTTCCTCCAGAGAGAGAGAGCTCCGCATGTCGTCTCTCCCCTCCTCGCTGCCCTCTGAATCCACATCATCATACTCCTGAAAGATTAATTTATAATATTATATACAGAACATACACAATAGCACCTTGTAGTTCTATATTAGACTCCTAAGTCATGAATAAACACCCTCTACAGTGAATATTTAACATGAATAAACACCCACTACAGTGAAGATTTAACATGAATAAACACCCACTACAGTGAAGATTTAACATGAAAAACACCCACTACAGTGAAGATTTAACATGAATAAACACCCACTACAGTGAAGATTTAACATGAATAAACACCCACTACAGCGAAGATTTAACATGAATAAACACCCTCTACAGTGAAAATTTAACCATTTTTGTTAGAAAAATAGCTAGCTAACTTTGATAAACAGCCAGAAACTATACATTTTCTGATTCAATAAGAAAGCTAAACCTAAATATGTATTTTTGGTTGTTTAGTCAATTAGACCATTTCAAGCAAAAATATATACACTGAACAAAAATATATAAGCAACTTGCAACAATTTCACAGATTTTACTGAGTTACAGTTCATATAAGGAAATCAGTCAATTTAAATAAATTCATTAGGCCGTAATCTATGGATTTCACATGACTGGGAATACAGATATGTATCTGTTGGTCACAGATACCTTAAAAAAGGTAGTGGTGTGGATCAGAAAACCAGTCAGTATCTGGTGTGACCACCATTTGCCTCATGCAGTGCGACACATCTCCTTCGCATAGAGTTGATCAAGCTGTTGACTGTAGTCTGTGGAATGTTGCCCCACTCCTCTTCAATGGCTGTGCGAAGTTGCTGGATATTGGCGGGAACTGGAACACGCTGTCGTACACGTCGATCCAGAGCATCCCAAACATGCTCAATGGGTGACATGTCTGGTGAGTATGCAGGCCATGGAAGAACTGGGGCATTTTCAGCTTCCAGGGATTGTGTACAGATCCTTGAGACATGGGGCCGTGCATTATCATGCTGAAACATGAGGTGATGGTTGCGGATGAATGGCACGACAATGGGCCTCATGATTTCATCAAGGTATCTTTGTGCATTCACATTGCCATCGATAAAATGCAAACGTGTTTGTTGTCCGTAGCTTATTCCTGCCCATACCATAACCCCACTGTGAAGAGCACACTTCTCCAGCGTGCCATTGGCCATCGAATGGGAGCATTTGCCCACTTAAGTTGTTTTTGACACCGAACTGCAGTCAGGACCCTGGTGAGGACGACCCGCACGCAGATGAGCTTCCTTGAGACGGTTTCTGACAGTTTGTGCAGAAATTAATCGGTTGTGCAAACCCACAGTTTCATCAGCTGTCTGGGTGGCTGGTCTCAGACGATCCCGCAGGTTAAGAAGCCGGATGTGGAGGTGCTGGGCTGGCGTGGTTACACGTGGTCTGCGGTTGTGAGGCCGGTTGGATGTACTGCCAAATTGTCTAAAACAACATTGGAGGTGGCTTATGGTAGAGAAATGAACATTCAATACTCTGGCAACAGCTCTGGTGAACATTCCTGCAGTCAGCATGCCAGTTGCACGTTCCCTCAAAACTTGAGACATCTGTGGCATTGTGTTGTGTGACAAAACTGCACATATTATTGGCCTTTTATTGTCCCCAGCACAAGGTGCACTTGTGTAACGATCATGCTGTTTAATCAGCTTCTTGATATGCCACACCTGTCAGGTGGAATGGATTATCTTGGCAAAGGAAAAATGCTCACTAACAGGGATGTAAACAAATTTGTGCACAACATTTGAGAGAAATAAGCTTTTTATGCGTATGGAACATTTCTGGGATCTATTTCAGCTCATGAAAAATGGGACCAACACTTTACATGTTGTGCTTATATTTTTGTTCAGTATGTATATCATACCCCCCCCCACCAAAACGCTAACCTCCCCTGTTATTGTAATGGTAAGAGGTTAGCATGTCTGGGGGGTATGATATTTGTGCGTTTGTAACTTTCTCACTCATCATTATTCATGATTCATTCAGGATTATCTGTAATCATGGTAGCATCCACATTCATCTAGAAGAGTTTAGAAACATATTCTATTCTTATTTACAATAAAAGTGACTCCAAAATGACACACTACATAATTTACCATTCATTTCTTTTGGGCACAAAATAATCTGAAACACAGCCAAAACAAAGAGCAAATTCATCCAACAAATTTGCGGAGTCACAAACTTGATGAGGTCATTGTGTGCTCTGAATATGAGACTAAATACTAAACTCTTGACTACTTTAATACACATATAAGTGAATTTGTCCAAGTACTTTTGCTCCCCTAAAATGGGGGGGGACTATGTACAAAAAGTGCTGTAACGGTTCACCCGATATGGATGAAAATACCCTAAAATTAAAGCTGACAGTCTGCACTTTAACCTCGTAGTCATTGTTTGATTTCAAATCCAAACCTTTGGAGTATAGAGCCAAAAAAAATAAAAATAAATGCTTCACTGTCCCAATAATTACAGTGTTTCTGAACATTGAGGCAAGTTAGCTGGCTAACTCACTGAACCTGCTTTGTAGTATTACCCCATAAGTTTGAACTTGTTGTCTCCTCACCTCATGACCCCGGTCTCTTCTCCTGTAAGGTTCCGGTTCTCGTCCGAACAGCGCCAGGAGCTCGTTGCTCTGCAGTGAAGGGGAACGGTACAGCATAGCCATCTCTGTGTTTCTCCTGTCCAAGCCTCTCACTTCTCCTGTTGTTGTTGTTGTCTAATATTATTCGATGTCAGTTATTTTATTCCAAAAAGCATGTCTCGTAGGACCAGGTTACATCACTATGTAGTGTGCTGCTGATCTCACAAAGGGAATGGCACACTGACTGGAGTCAAGAAGTCACACACACACACACACACACACACATAAAACGGGATGATCCTCAGTCTTAAAGCCTGCATGCAGGAATCATGATTTTACTGTCAGGAGTGACACAGGCACAGACACACACAAAACACACAGATTTAATGTAATTCACCGGCTGTTCTCCATATGGCCGAGTTAGGACTTAACCGCGCTATAAGGCCTACAGACAATGATTCCCAGTGAGATATCCAGCCTGTATGTGTCCAGACAGTCAACGTCTCCAATCAGATTTACAGACTAACAAACACACTTAATTACAGTTGAAGTGTTGATCTGATTGGGTCTGGTTTAGGAGGGAGGCAGCAGGTAGACACACCTTCTGCTCTGTTGCCGTGACAAACAGTAAGTCAGGAAGCAAAAGTCCAAGATTGCCTCTGAAATGGCACCCTATTCCACCTTTATAGGGTTCTGGTCAAAAGTAGTGCACTATATAGGGACTAGGGTGTCATTTCAGACACAGCCCAATTTGAAAGAGAATTTCAAATTCCAGGCAGGTGTGCCCAACGAACTTTCTGCCTGGAGAGCTACCCTACACAAACAAAACGGAATCAGCCAATCAAGGTACTAACGGGCAGATTTAGTAGAAGTCTTTAGACCATGGCTTGAACAAAACCCTGCATGGGTTGTAGTGATATAAAAATAGTTTAACTGAGTTGACTTGACTTTGCCTGAGTTGACTTGGCTTTGCCTGAGTTTACCTGACTTTGCCTGAGTTGACTTGGCTTTGCCTGACATTTCCTGAGTTGACTTGACTTTGCCTGACATTTCCTGAGTTGACTTGACTTTGCCTGAGTTGACTTGACTTTGCCTGAGTTTACCTGACTTTGCGTGAGTAGACTTGGCTTTGCCTGACTTTTCCTGAGTTGACTTGACTTTGCCTGAGTTGACTTGACTTTGCCTGAGTTTACCTGACTTTGCGTGAGTAGACTTGGCTTTGCCTGACTTTGCCTGAGTTGACTTGACTTTACCTGAGTTTACCTGAGTTTTCCTGAGGCCACTCCAGTTTACCCTCCACTAGCCTACATAACTGTTGGGCACCTCATTTATAGTTCTCCTCCTGTGTGTTGATTCTCCCCAGACGACAGTGAAGGCTGCCAGGGCCTACCAGGGCCTACTCAGCTTACACTAATTACGCCTGGCAGATAGATGTCACACCTTCTGTTCTGTTGCTGTGGCAATAAGACAGTCATGAAGCATAAGTCCAATTTAGGGCTGGAACAAAACCCTGCAGAATGGTTAGGTTACCTGTATGTTTATTCTCCCCAGATGACACTGCCAGGGGCTACTGAGCTACACTCTTAGAAAAAAAGGTGCTATCTAGAACCTAAAAGTGTTCTTCGGCTGTCCCATATGAGAACTCTTTGAATAACTATTTTTGGTTCCAGGTACAACCCTTTCCACAGAGGGTTCTACATGGAACCCAAAAGGGTTCTACCTGGAACCAGAAAGAGTTCTACCTGGAACCAAAAAGAGTTCTACCTGGAACCAAAAAGGGTTATCCTATGCAGACAGGCGAAGCACACTTTTAGAACCCTATTTTATAAGAGTGTACCTGGACCTGCCAAGGCTACTCAGTTACCAGGGCCTACCAGGGGATACTCAGTTACCAGGGGATACTCAGTTACCAGGGCCTACCAGGGGATACTCAGTTACCAGGGGATACTCAGTTACCAGGGGCTACTCAGTTACCAGGGGCTACTCAGTTACCAGGGGCTACTCAGTTACCAGGGCTTGCCAAGGCTACTCAGTTATCAGGGGCTACTCAGTTACCATGGGCTACTCAGTTACCACGGGCTACTCAGTTACCAGGGGATACTCAGTTACCAGGAACTACTCAGTTACCAGGGGCTACTCAGTTACCAGGAACTACTCAGTTACCAGGGGCTACTCAGTTACCAGGAACTACTCAGTTACCAGGGGATACTCAGTTACCAGGAACTACTCAGTTACCAGGGGCTACTCAGTTACCAGAACTACTCAGTTACCAGGGGCTACTCAGTTACCAGGAACTACTCAGTTACCAGGGGCTACTCAGTTACCAGGGGCTACTCAGTTACCAGGGGCTACTCAGTTACCAGGGGCTACTCAGTTACCAGGGGCTACTCAGTTACCAGGGCCTACCAGGAACTACTCAGTTACCAGGGCCTACCAGGGGATACTCAGTTACCAGGGGCTACTCAGTTACCAGGGGCTACTCAGTTACCAGGGGCTACTCAGTTACCACGGGCTACTCAGTTACCAGGGGCTACTCAGTTACCAGGGCTACTCAGTTTACCAGGGGCTACTCAGTTACCAGGGGCTACTCAGTTACCACGGGCTACTCAGTACCAGGGGCTACTCAGTTACCAGGGCTTGCCAAGGCTACTCAGTTATCAGGGGCTACTCAGTTACCATGGGCTACTCAGTTACCACGGGCTACTCAGTTACCACGGGCTACTCAGTTACCAGGGCTTGCCAAGGCTACTCAGTTATCAGGGGCTACTCAGTTACCATGGGCTACTCAGTTACCAGGGGCTACTCAGTTACCAGGGGCTACTCAGTTACCAGGGGCTTACTCAGTTACCAGGGGGCTACTCAGTTACCACGGGCTACTCAGTTACCAGGGGCTACTCAGTTACCAGGGGCCCTACCAGGAACTACTCAGTTACCAGGGCCTACCAGGGGATACTCAGTTACCAGGGGCTACTCAGTTACCAGGGGCTACTCAGTTACCAGGGGCTACTCAGTTACCAGGGGCTACTCAGTTACCAGGGGCTACTCAGTTACCAGGGGCTACTCAGTTACCACGGGCTACTCAGTTACCAGGGGCTACTCAGTTACCAGGGCTTGCCAAGGCTACTCAGTTATCAGGGGCTACTCAGTTACCAGGGGCTACTCAGTTACCAGGGGCTACTCAGTTACCAGGGGCTACTCAGTTACCAGGGGCTACTCAGTTACCAGGGGCTACTCAGTTACCAGGGGCTACTCAGTTACCAGGGGCTACTCAGTTACCAGGGGCTACTCAGTTACCAGGGGCTACTCAGTTACCAGGAGCTACTCAGTTACCACGGGCTACTCAGTTCCCAGGGGCTACTCAGTTACCAGGGGCTACTCAGTTACCAGGGGCTACTCAGTTACCAGGGGCTACTCAGTTACCACGGGCTACTCAGTTACCAGGGGCTACTCAGTTACCAGGGCTTGCCAAGGCTCCTCAGTTACCAGGGGCTACTCAGTTACCAGGGCTTGCCAAGGCTACTCAGTTATCAGGGGCTACTCAGTTACCATGGGCTACTCAGTTACCAGGGGCTACTCAGTTACCAGGGGCTACTCAGTTACCAGGGGCTACTCAGTTACCAGGGGCTACTCAGTTACCAGGGCTTGCCAAGGCTACTCAGTTATCAGGGGCTACTCAGTTACCATGGGCTACTCAGTTACCAGGGGCTACTCAGTTACCAGGGGCTACTCAGTTACCAGGGGCTACTCAGTTACCAGGGGCTACTCAGTTACCAGGGGCTACTCAGTTACCAGGGCTTGCCAAGGCTACTCAGTTACCAGGGGCTACTCAGTTACCAGGGCTTGCCAAGGCTACTCAGTTATCAGGGGCTACTCAGTTACCATGGGCTACTCAGTTACCACGGGGTACTCAGTTACCAGGGGCTACTCAGTTACCAGGGGCTACTCAGTTACCACGGGCTACTCAGTTCCCAGGGGGTACTCAGTTACCAGGGGCTACTCAGTTACCACGGGCTACTCAGTTCCCAGGGGGTACTCAGTTACCAGGGGCTACTCAGTTGCCAGGGGCTACTCAGTTACCAGGGGCTACTCAGTTACCAGGGGCTACTCAGTTACCAGGGGCTACTCAGTTACCACGGGCTACTCAGTTACCACGGGCTACTCAGTTACCAGGGGCTACTCAGTTACCAGGGGCTACTCAGTTATCAGGGCTTGCCAGGGCTACTCAGTTACCAGGGGCTACTCAGTTACCAGGGCTTGCCAAGGCTCCTCAGTTACCAGGCGCTACTCAGTTACCAGGGGCTACTCAGTTACCAGGGCTTGCCAAGGCTACTCAGTTATCAGGGGCTACTCAGTTACCAGGGGCTACTCAGTTACTAGGGGCTACTCAGTTACCAGGACTTGCCAAGGCGACTCAGTTATCAGGGGCTACTCAGTTACCAGGGCTTGCCAAGGCTACTCAGTTATCAGGGGCTACTCAGTTACCATGGGCTACTCAGTTACCAGGGGCTACTCAGTTACCAGGGGCTACTCAGTTATCAGGGGCTACTCAGTTCCCAGGGGGTACTAAGTTACCAGGAGCTACTCAGTTACCAGGCCTACCAAGGCTACTCAGTTACCAGGCCTTCCAAGGCTACTCAGTTACCAGGCCTTCCAAGGCTACTCAGTTACCAGGCCTTCCAAGGCTACTCAGTTACCAGGGGCTACTCAGTTACCAGGCCTACCAAGGCTACTCAGTTACCAGGCCTTCCAAGGCTACTCAGTTACCAGGCCTTCCAAGGCTACTCAGTTACCAGGCCTTCCAAGGCTACTCAGTTACCAGGCCTTCCAAGGCTACTCAGTTACCAGGCCTTCCAAGGCTACTCAGTTACCAGGCCTGCCAAGGCTACTCAGTTACCAGGCCTTCCAAGGCTACTCAGTTACCAGGCCTTCCAAGGCTACTCAGTTACCAGGCCTTCCAAGGCTACTCAGTTACCAGGCCTTCCAAGGCTACTCAGTTACCAGGCCTTCCAAGGCTACTCAGTTACCAGGCCTTCCAAGGCTACTCAGTTACCAGGCCTGCCAAGGCTACTCAGTTACCAGGCCTT